AATGTCCCTGCGTCCGCCGGTTGATTTGGTGCTTTGATTGGGCGCCTCCTCCAATCCAATTGATGTGTCCGTTTGAATGACGCTTTCTTGCTTCTTGTATGAGTTCCTCGTATGGTCGCTTTTGCGGCTCTAAGTTCTGTGGTTTTGGCGTTCTCTATGTCTTTAACTGGCGAGTTGTGTTCGTGTATTCTGGTGGAGAGCTTCCTTCCTGTTTGTCCTACGTACCGTTTGTCGCAGTCCTTGCATTGGATCCTGTATATGACATTGTTCTTCGACATTGGATCAAACCAACCCTTTGGTCTTGATAGTGTCCTCCGCAGAGTATTCGCAGGCTTGTAGGCGACCATCGTATTGTGCTGTCGTAGGAGCCTTGCTGTCATTTCAGCGGTGTTCTTGATGTACGGAAGTGTGACACGTTTGCTTGCAGTTTGTCCTGTTGCATCGGTCGTATTTGGCTTCCCGAGTGTTCTCCAGATGAAATTCCTCGGGTATCCATTTTTCTGAAACAATTTATATAGGCGCTTTTCTTCTTTGATCTTGGATTCTGTTGTACTAAAGTGTGTCTCGATCCGCTTGGAAGGTGTCCGAATGCAGCTTCGTTTGTGGCAATTTGGATGGTTGCTGTGGTAGCCGAGGATTTGGTCCGTATGTGTCGCCTTTCTAAAGACCTCAGTTTGTAGTTGTCCGTTCGGCAATCTAGTGATGAGGATGTCCAGGAACGCCAGTTTTCCGTTGTTTTCTTCCTCGGTTGTGAATTTGATGTCGTCGAAAACGTTGTTTAACAGTTGGCTCACTCGTTGCAGTTCGCTCCTTTTGATGATCACAAATGTGTCGTCCACGTAACGGATCCCAAAATATGGATCCGTTATGTGGACGAGCTTCATAGGAAAGTATGCTATGCTGAGGTTCGCTGAACAAACTAAACTCAATAAATACGGAAGGTATAAAGCAAATAAACGTCGCTGACCGGTTTTCTTAAATGGAATTCGCATGAATAATCTGTACATATTAGCTCATTCCTAAAGAACACCATGAACGCTAAAATATGTTGAAGCGTGATTTCGCGACTTGTATCTCGTCAACCCGTAGCATAATGCAAATCGCCGCTGGTCCGTGATCTTGAAATTTTGCTCACTTAAACAAAATGCTATGAGCAACATAACACCGAAAGGTTCAAACGGAATAGATTAACTCCCCATAAAATTAACAACTTCAAAAACCCCATAGTTTCGGTGAAAGTAATTTGCGTGCGCTTCTAGTGACTGGTACCTAGAGGGTCACTTAAACAAATGCTATGAGCAACATAACACCGAAAGGTTCAAACGGAATAGATTAACTCCCCATAAAATTAACAACTTCAAAAACCCCATAGTTTCGGTGAAAGTAATTTGCGTGCGCTTCTAGTGACTGGTACCTAGAGGGGGATAAATGCAAATGATAATAAACCACAGATTCACGATTTGATATACATCCAAGGCTTTCACGCAAAAGCCAGGGTCGGGTTTGTCCAGTTCGTTCAGCGGCATCATTTCTCCTTAAACACACAACGGAAAACGGGTGTAGTATCGCTCTTATCATTCCCGGAATGGGGCGGTGCATTGACCGAGGAGGTAGTTGGATAGATATCGTTCTTTTTTCTTTCCATTGCGCGTAACACCATATTTTGTTTTTATATTTCCGATTATCCTGAAAACTGCGACAACAGTGCAGTCGGTTTTTTTTCATGCGCTTACCGAATTCTATAGCTATCGAAGTACCCTTGTGGGAGCCTGAAAGTCATCTTGGTATCTACGCTCTGAGTTTGATAATGGGCCCGCAAGAGACTTATTGAACCGAGGTTGCCTCTGCTGTGAGCTCGCAGTGATTCCTGATTTTCAGCAATCCAAATAGCTAATTTAACCTTTTACTGATTCTCGTGTAAGGTGTCAACGGTTTCACGGAAACCGATGTCAGCATCACGAATAGTCAATTCCTTCTACTCAAATTGCCAAGCAGATTGTCATCTGATATCATTTTTTTGCATTTTGTTTCAACTGATCTCCCTCATCATTTTGACGTTGTTGTGCTATGGCATCAGAGGTGACTTTACAAAAGTTTGCTGCAAAATCGGGGGCTGTATCCTCTTCATCGATTACGACGTTTAGGAAGGCCCTAAATGGATACATGATGGGTAAATATTTGATAATGGTGCTTTCGTCCAGTAATCGAAGCACCAACGCTACTGCGCTAAAAATGAGCTCATCATAAGCTCAACAGACTGTCTGTAAGACAGACGGAATGTGGACGACTCCCACGAATATGGTGAGCTGTGAATAATTCCAGTGGAAAACTATGCCCGAAGTACTGCCTGTCCTAGGCGGGTTTAATCGACAAGTGCAGTCCCTGCCAAAGTATGGACGTCGGCTGAAATGCGGCAGTCTGTGGCCGATGATATTGATGGAACGCACGTAGCCAACCCTTTTTGATAAGTCTTCTAAACCACCTAATAGTCGGTCTGCAGATAAAAGCATTAGACCTTCCACGGATGGCATGGGCACCAGACATAGGCTTATGTATGCCTTCATTTAAAGGAGATAGTTTCCTCAATGTTCGGATCCTTCAAGGAGATCATGACCTGTTTGAGGCATTTCTCATTGACATGCGCGCTGACGGGTTGTTCGCTGAGAAATAATTCTGTGTCGTGTAATATTAGAACTGCTATCGGGAAGCATGCATAATGTAATACCCACGTATTTTCCCTCACGGTTCTTTCAGCTGCCCGCAACGATCGACGTAGGTTTGCGGCGTTATTATAACACTACGTAATTCATCATTTGCATAACCGTTTTTTGTTTGAATCCGAAAAACTACAAAAACGCGCACCTGCACAATTTCGCAGAATACAAGCGTGGTCACGTGCTTCGGCTCTCTTTCCTGATTTCGCTCGCGCTTGTAGCGGTCATTCGCGAGTCTCATGTACTAACTCTGGTATCAAAACATTTCAGACCATCTTCGTAAACTAGTACATATGGGAACTGTTCAGAAGAAGAACCATGTACCACCGAAATTGGATTAATGTTTATTCGCTGACCAGGACCAACGACGAACTATTTTAAAGAGAACAATGTTAGTGAGTTTTTTCATCTGACCTCTTTATTATTGTATGCTTAACCTAGCGTTATTATTTTTATTTCTTTGCCACACACTCCTGGCAAACTAACTTATTGGTAGCCAGACCACCACAGGTTCCATGTGGCTAATTTATTAGACATTGTGGAAACCAAGCCGCAGGTTAGTCTTGTGCATCAACTCGTTTCTTTCACTTGACCTTGATGATTGACATCAGGTCTTCCTGAAAAATTTCCCAGGTGATAATGGCCCACTGCGGTTTAACAACAAAATTGTAGGACTTTTCCGGAAATGACTACTGCGGCTTCTGTGAATTTAATCCTTAATAGAAATTGTCCAATTATTTTTTACAAGGTTCCCACCTTCGCATTTCATGCATCCGCAAAGGCCATATAGTTTATAGAATGTGCAGCGATTTTTTCAGCTGCAAAGCTATCAGATAATTCCGTCCACTGCAAGTGATTCACATTTTCCCATGTTCGCCTTTTTTTATCAAATTGGGTAACGTTATCACCATCGTTGTTCGTTGACCTAGCACGTCCACTCACTTGAACAAATAAATGGTGTAGTTATTTTACATAATAGTGGATTGTACGTAGACATTCTACACTATGGATGGACAACCTTGAAAATAACGCAGCTTTCGAGAAATTGATTCCATTGTGCGAATACTGAGAGGCTATATCAACATTTGAGTGGCGCATTACAGAAATCACTACTGAGTTGATTACAGTCACGGTTGGGCACTGAAAGCACACATCCGAAGCTCTTGCTTGACCAGTATAGAAGAAGCCATTGTGTTGGACAACAAATTTTGTTTGAACGCATGTGTTCAAGGTAATTTTCGTGCGGATAAACGCCACGATTTCGAATTTTTTGTCGCGTCATATTTGTCGTGGTCGTATCCTGACTTTTTCTAGACGATAACGAGAACCGGAAAATCGAAGAGCGATTAAGTTACAGGAATATTAAAATACCAACTTTATGGTCAGGTTCGGTGTACAAGGATACTCATACCAGCGTTATTTAGGCCAAGATTCACTGGGAATGCACCGACTATTAACGTAGCACGACACCCAATGATCTGCACGAACCATTCTTTCACCGGTTGTTGCGATGCATTCTCAGTGGCGACGCACCACACCTAATGTCTCCTAAACGCAAACTCCACAAATATCACTGTTAACATTATGCTAAAATCATTCCCGATCACTGATAACTGATATCGCCTGATCTCAGCATAAGGCGAAACTTTTCAAGTCCGGAAAGTGCAAATCAGCAACGGACGGCAAAAGAAGCATTAATGGCATGTCTCTGGAGAGGCATCAGAAATACCACGAACATACCTTTCAACTTCCCCTGTCTAGGTTTGGGCGACCTAGGAGTATCCCAGCCCTCGTGCTTACTTTAGGTGCCATGACAGTCAGGCACCAAACGAGTGTAACAACTTAATGATTATCTTTTGTCTTACACCTCAGGATGCACAGATCAATCAGTGTTTTGGGCATTATGAACGAATTCCCTCTATCCAAAAGAAAATATGAAGTTGGACTCGGATTCCGGTGAACTTCTTGCATTGAACCCGTACCCCAAGGGTTAGATTTCTTCGATCAAACACTCCAAGTAGAACGGAAAGGCAATGTCGACCGAGGATATCCAAACGTGAGCCGGCTGGATTGAAGCTTTTAATCCAAACAGATCTACTCTATTCTAAGGGATTGCATCCGCCAGACCGTAACCAGCTTCGACCACCGTATGGCTCAACCGGTAGTTTGAGCTGTATGCAATGGCTAAAATAATTCCCAGTTCACCTTAGATTTGGTTTTATAACATTGTATCGCTTTTCAAAATTTCCATGCTCAAATATCTTTCCTTTTAAGATTAAAATTAAAATGCTATCGAAAGAAGAACTTGACAATTTTGTGTTCAGTGAGGTAAGCTGACAAATAGTAACATAACTTATGAAATGATAGCCAAAAATGCGAGCCTTTGAATGGAATGACGAAACAAACGAAATAGACATCATGGAGTTGGTACCGCCAGTGAAGCTTGTACCTGTGGGGACCAAACCGTAATTCAAAAATTAAAACGTGGAGAATTTTTGAAACAGAAAGCCGATCAAATGGAATGTTCATAAACAGCGATTAAGAGTAACCTTGGAGGATGTCAAATGTAAGTTTGAGCAGTTTTATAGATACTGATTAAAATGAATTCTCATCCAAGTGGTGACGATAATTAGACTCAAGAACTCAGGCCTGCCAGTCACCATTTCCAGGAGATTTCGGAGACTTGTCAAGTAAGTCGTGTCGAAAAAACGCTGATCTGGTAATGCCTCAGTACTCCTGAGATGAACAAGCTTGTATTATCACTTGCGAGATATTTCGATATATATTTCGAATCAATGAGTTATGAAGAAACAGTCGCCGAGTCACTTTTGTAAGTCATAATCAGGATCACTACTTATCAACAGTCTTCCAACATCCAAGCAGATGATGAAGATAAAACAGCTGAAGCAACGGGTGAATGTTTGTTTGGTCGGGGCAGCCGAAGCTTACGCAAACTTGCTAGTGATTGGTCATATGGATTACTTTGAACAGCAACAAAAAAAGCGCAACGCACGCTACCCAACTGATCCGGACAGAGAGAAACGGAGGGAACATGAACTATTCGAAACAATCTACTGGTATTTGGTGTTCTCCGTATGGGTTATAATGAACCGGAAACGATTCAGAATCATTTGCAGTGAAGTTGGATGGTATGTGAGATAACTACAATACCTAGAAATATTATGAATTGTTCTTCGTAAGAATCACATCAACACAGCAGCATTCATTCCTTGAGTAAAAAAACATTCGCTAAGGGAAATCACTACGGTATTAAATGTATACGTCAGAAGGGTGCATCCAGGAAGTAACAGAAATCACGAAGGCATGGATTGTGCGAGGAATAAAAGCAAATGCTTGGTAGAGCCGTGTGACACTCCGTTCTCCGGCAAACAGATGCAAGATAAATGAGGTCTAAATGGTCCAATAGTTGATAGTATAGGCAGATAATGAAACCATCAACTGTTGTATTTGTGGAATAATTCAACCACTAATAACCCACAGGCGGGAAGAAGGATTGAATCGTCACAAAGGCTCGTCGCTTTTGAATTGGGATTAAGGACTTTAGGTGAATGTGTTGGGCAGGCGAATAGATAAACATTTTCTGCAAGACAATGATGGTCCACCTAAGCACAGATTCATCGGAAAGCTGTCAATTTGAAGATGACTCATTTTGAAAATTTACTGCAGTACTGAGGGAATATCAAACACTCCCGTCATTACATGGTGCGAGAACGCTCCTTCTAGGTTTATCCGTTCAGAAATGTTCAATTCACTCGGTCGAGTTGGACCGGAGCAACTGGTCAGACGGTCAAGTCGCATTGAGTTGGTTCAAGAAATATATGAAAGAAATCTTCCACGGGCACGCATGATCAGGTTGGGTGGTGTATTTCAATGAATACAAACTTTATTTAGCCAGCACTCACCAGCTATCCGAATCTTAAGACATCATCCGCGAGATCAGTCAGCCTATCTGTTCGGTAATGTGGGGACCAGCAATACAGACAAGTAACTCAAGATCATATAAACTTAACATTCAGACGAATTGCTCAGATATTGGTGGACGCGAAATTACTGAATCACCGTGATGCCGAGTCCGTCAAGTAAGTGCCTTTATGTTGGAGCTTGATGCAACTGTTACAATAGCGTTGGAATCCTGGGTAAACCGAGAACAGACTACGATGAAATGCTGATACCCGAGGACGAGACAGAGAACAATAAGTGCTGATGTTTGGTGGCCAGTATCTACGACTTTGCCGTCTAACTAAAGTAAGTACAAATGCGTCTCCTTAGAAAAAAAATAGAAGTTGCGTGTATTTGGGTTTCAAATTTTACGGAACCATGACATTGAACATTTTGTGTCCTCACGCATCAAATAATACCATATAAATTCACGATGCAAATCCCCAAAACAGAACGCTGTTGTCCAGTCAACGAAAATTTACGCCTCCCATGAAGTCTGGATTATATGTAGTCGTGAATAAGCAACGAAACTTGCTAACAGTCTCGGCACGGTAATGAGGTTCCGATGAGCCAAAGCTTATGTAAACATAGGTACTAGGTCTGACATGTGTATTCACCTATCATTAACGACTCAGTACAGCATTAATGGATGCGCAAACTTCTATGCCACATCCAGCACAAAACAGCTATGGGGGTTGAATAAGTGGAATCTTTGGATTCCATGCTATGCAGTCAGGTAGGCTTGGTGGATTTCAGTAAAAATCCGCTCTCCTCGGAGATCATGTGTGTAGAAATTCTGTCCAGTTCGAAACATACTAGTGCCGAAGTGCATTAATCAATCCAGATCAAATAAGTCCCAGCCCGGTATACACGAATTTACATCAACGAAGCTATGGCCAAAAAATTACCTTACATTACAATAAAAACATCCGGTGAAACTCCAGGCGCGTGGCTTGGTAACTATCAGATATTCCACGAGGACCGATGACCTATCGAAAAAAGCCTTTCTGACTATTCACCATTAGCTGGATGTTTGTCGAAATTAGTCGACACTTGGTCAGAAAAGAAACAAAACTAAAGCTTCCAGAATGGTTCGGACAAATATGTGGATGTGGCGCCTTTCTTTGGTTCACATAATGGTCTCTTCTTACAGCCATCAAGTCGCAGTTGTCTATGAACCACTCCAGTCGCCTAGAAACGTTCAGCATTGTCAGTGGCTACGGTGTGCAACTTCACCAGCCCAACGGCTACATTCTACAGCTCCTGATAAGAAGACCCAAGGAAAACAGCCACATATCTGAGCCAAAAAGAGCCATTTGGAAGGTAAGGCGAAAATTCCCCTTCATTGGGTGCCACACTCATTGGCTCAGTCAACATCGCCGTAGCTCCAAGTAATCTAGCAAGTCAGAAGCGGCCTGGCAATTTCTACCGCAACCATTCTGGTGTCTTTTATTGTCACATATTTGTAGCGACATCGCGTTGGCCGACTGATGAATAAGTTTCACCATTGTAGCATGGTAGACACAAGATGTAGAGTACTGATCCGGGGTAACACCAAGTGTCGTGTTCACATAGACGTTCAAGGAAGGTGCTATGTGATTTACTGGCCACTGGTGGGCCAAAGACAAAAGGCATGGACAAAAGTGCCTAAAACCAACTACAGATGTTTGAATGTACAACTAACACACGTTGGTGTGCTCCAAAAGAGCTTCATTTAACTTCGAAACAGCTCGGTGTTAAGGCGCGAACTTGGTAACCGGGAGGTCCGTGGGTGGACTGGCATGATAGCTATGCACCGAAATGGTGTTACAGCCGAACGATAGTTTTTTATTTTATATTCTGCCTTCAATCGAGTACGCTGTGCAACATAATGTGCCTTCTGGTCATGTTCCTAAATCAATTTTTAAAAAGTTGAGACAACTGCTGCTGTAATGAATGCTAGAAAGGACAATCAGTCAGATAATATCCATACGGGAATATGATTCACCCAGTGTTATTTACAAACCATAGGTAAGATTTCCCTCCCCGTTACCTACACTGGTTCTGATCTTAACTACTTGTCTCTACATTTCATTCCAGAATTTTCAAGAAAGGCGACAAACGTTGTTTTGAAATAGTTGTCTTAAAATAATCAGGCGCGTTTATGCACGTTTATTGAAATAAAGTTACGCTTCCTATCCGACGATTCGCCTTATCATGCATGGAATTAAAAACCAATCATTACGCCCCAAAATGCCAGAAAATCAAATATTTTGAAACGTCCATCGGAGCGGCCGATAGAGAACCTTTGTAAGTACCACAGGAGCTAAAGATTCTTTCAAAATAAACTGCTCATTGGTATTTTAAGACCCGGGTATCCCTCACAAAATTCAATTATCATGAATGCCTTACAAGTAACGTAAGTTTGACAAACGAAACCGACACAGAGAAGTCAATTATCGCCCGGTTCACTAACCTACACTTGTGTGGAAGGTGGGTGGAAAACCCACTACACTGGGCAAGCCGTCAGCCGACCGAAATAAACTTGCAGTATGAGTGCTGACGAGAAAAGTACGATATTCCTGATGATAGCTGAAATCATCAATGACTTACTTAAACATCCTGTTGTGTTAAATTTAATATTTCGGGTTTTTGTGTTTAAGAATCTGCTGAAATGTCCGCCTCAAATGACTGTTTTTGAATTCTCCAAGCATGCTAGGGAGAAGTCACCTTTGAAAAAGGTTCCCCATGAAACAGATGAAGCGGCGAACGGTACGGTATGGACATACTCCCAAGATAAACAGCCTTGATTAACCCACAAAAGTAGTAGGAAAGTCAGAAAGTCAGTTGTTGCAGTTGTTATACTCAGAATGTATGTTGCAGTAGAAATGAACAGAGTTGTGGCCAGTGACTGCATGGAAAGGTACAATGGAAATAGCCATCGTACGTGAGGGGCCCACGACGGCCTGGATGCCAGTTAACGAAGTGGAGTTCCGCACCACCTGGCATTCAAGATATGATAAGAAGTGGACAAATATATACGAGCAATATCAGCTCATGTTCCCCAAAAAGTGAGACATTTTGACAAAACCACACGAGGGGTTTCCGAGCATCATAGAGCTCTCCAGCGGCACCGATCGACGAGAAACAACATGAGCGGTCTTTGACATACAAGTATAAAAAGTATGTAACCCTTGCGTGAGACTGGCCAGCAGGCTTGCCAAGCACACATCATTTGCTTGGCGGTAAAGGTGTTCTTTTATTTCGGAAGGCCGGTCTCCCACGCCAGTAACAGAGGACAGTAAGGAGAGACGTTTGGTTAATGCGTTAATTTCTCGTAAGCGAGCGCGGTTTACGGGTAATTCACCGGCTGCGACAGCCGAAACGTAGGCCCGGATTAGAGACAGACGATTGTACAGCATTTGGGTGGCCTGGTAGTTACCCAGGAGGTGTTCCGCAGTCTGAAAGTTGGGATAGTAGAGAAAGACTAAGTTGGGGTGATCAGGGTCGAAGCAATGCGATGGCAGACGGAGGTTCTAACATATCAAGAAAGCCGTCTGAGGGGCTGTGCACCAGAGAATATCAGTGGTGAGCAATTCACTACTGTATCGGAACCTACCATAGAAGATGTTTGTCCAGTGCTGGTCATTGAGATACGAGCAACATAGTCAACCCCAATACGTTCGGCTTCATCTGTTGCCAGTGTGTACAAAACCTAAAAGAGAGCGAGCGAAGGATGATGATGCATAAAGGAATTCATATTAGATTCCAAATCTTGCTTGTGTTTGCCCTGCATTCTATTGAGCGTAAAAGCACCTTCGGCACACTGTTTACAGCTAAGAAGCTGACTGATTAAGCTCGGCTTCTAGACACAGAAAGGGTGTTACAGCTGAACGATTTTGTTATTATTTAAAGAAAGAGGGCACGATGGCTGAGATACTGCCAAGATCCCCAAGTCTAGACAGCGGCAGTCAAGATACTGAGGTTGGGTCCGAACCTTCAGGTTCGTAAGTTGGCACACTAACCACTGAATTATCTCGAGCTCCATCTAGATTGCCTGAATGAGTATCTGGAGGTGTGGGTACCTCAGAATGATTGTTGCAGCTAGCAGTAAGCCCTTTCCCCGTCCACTTTTATCCTTTTCTTCACAACAACGCTTTCAAATTAATCATAGCTATAAGTCAGCGAAACGTCAGTACTGAACATTAACGTTATGATGTCTATGATGATGAAGACTCTGTAACCAAGCAGGTCAGACTAGTGAGTCATCGGCCAGGGGTAAGGTCCCCAAAGAAAACCCTATTGCCTATTGCCCCAAGGTTCAAACTTGTGAGTCAAAGGCCCAAGTGAGACAGCTCAACTAAACCTTCTTCAGATTGGGCAACCAAGAAGTATCATTTGCCCACACATCTATCTGTCCGCCGAAATCCCTCCCCAACCCATGCCCACCCCATATGTAAACGTTGTTAGATCACTTGACTGTCAGTTACCTGATCGATGTGCCATATACAAGTTAGTTTATCCGACTTAAAAATATGTTTTGACTCGCAGCAAAAACGAGATCACTCGGAAGACAACGTTCTCATGGATACGAGCTGACAACGCGAAGCAACTCGAGATGTAGGTATTGCAGAAACGGGTGCGTGCAGGAGGTAAGACAATGTACATGTCGACTCAGGAAGAACAGCAAACTTCGAAGACCTGACGTGCCACCATCCTAAGCAGCGGATTGTGATAGCAAATCACACAAGACTCCAGTGCGAGGAGCTACTTACAGTAATGATAGCATGAACGAGCTACTACCAGGAAAAACGAATGGCTGCAATAACTAGTATTCCCAACCTATCACTCAGAATATACTGGCCGGGCCCAGCGTTACGCATGGTAGATGATCATATCCAAAACGGTATAATCAAAACAGCACCGAACATCACAGAGCCAAAAATATGGTGTAGCACGTAATCCAGTGGGGAATCTTATCGAGACTGTGTGGAGTTGTAGACCGAGCGCTCCAGCATAAAACTTTAAGAATGTAACAAAAACATCGAAGTTGGATTAGGCCACTCCAAAAAAGAGGATGTGATGAGGTCATTCACTTACTTGGCGGAAGTGTATTCTGCCATCATTGTCCACCACGGACTCATATATACGCACTGGGAGTTGTTCCCCACAAGAATGCAACGGGTCTAGCTTCAAGATTATCAGAGATTCGTTGAGTTCTTGCATCTGAATGAATGAGTCGAGATTAGAAAATGCGGTATCTACCTGCCGATTGAAGAGCTCATCATGTTCAGTGATCGGACCACCGGTAGTGTACCACCCAACGATGTCCAGGTCCGGATAGACTTGTTTGCACTGTGATTCCCGGGTACCATAGAAATCGGCATTGACAGCCATATGCGGTTCTTCATCTAATAATAACTCAAACGAATTTGTAATCTAAATGGTATATACATGTAGGAAGTGAAGAACAAACCTCGACATAATGGCCCTCTTGTTTACCTAACAAAGCCCCATAGACTACTACAGCAGGGGAGTTTTCTTTTACTTTATTACGGGTCCAGTGTTCCGAAATATTCAACACCACCAAAGGATGCAGCCGAACACAAATCGAACCCGATCCGGAAGCAACAGGTCCTGCATCTGTCAGCGTGTCTATTTCCATTGTGCTGGAAATATGAAAAGCAAGCTTTTGATAAGAATACAGCAATGAAGTATCGCAAGTAACAACAGGACAGTGGTGATGAGATGATTGAGAAGTACGGCGAAAGAAAGCTGGCCTAAATCGCAGCAACTGTCACCACTCAGAGAGTGAGTAAGTTCCAACAATGGTTTGGGTCGCCGAAATCCGTCACTCAGAAACAGGCTGGCGCAGGATAAACCAGTCAATTAACTGGAAATCCAGCTTCTTGGTTCAGTGTTCACTTTTTAGCCTCGTAAGGTATATCCTCGTAGTTTGTATTATTATACAGAGTAACAAGAAGAGCACTCGTATTATCCGTGGATTCCCACTTCGTATGCATACAAGATGATTTAAACATTTGAGTTAATGGCTTTGATGGTTTGCGTTGGACCCCGAAGAATCAAAAAGAGCTCCTGGAACCAGTTGCATCCGGAGAGATTGGGGAACTTCAAGAACCACTGACTGAAGATGTCTAGTCTCTGGATGTGTTTGATTTGTGAAACTAGATCTCCTAACTCTAGAGGGTTCAAGGATAACGTGAACGAACTTTCAAGCCGTTAACTGCAGACTATAAAATTAGGAGAACCGACGCCAAAATAACGTAGAGACCTGTATTTTGGTCTCCCGTGTTTTGTCGTGATAAAGTAAGTTGTTAAATGGCCAAATAAAGCTCAAAGTTGGAAGGTCCACGTCACAGCTTCAGCTTTAACCGGTTGAAAAATAAAGCGAGCAGTCTGGCTGGTCTGCCAACAGCTCCTGCCGTAATCGGGGTTAAATGCGCCGATAGTACCGCTGTCTACATTAGCTAGAACTTCGTTCTTCTAGGCTCACCTTTGCTAGGAGTACATGGGAGGATTCGGACAAAAGACAACAAACAATCGTAATACGACGTGTTCCGGCAGTAAAGTCATACTGTCATCCACGACGGGAGCGTGAAAACAGTTAATGCTTCCTGCATGTGGCGATGCTGTGGTTCTTGGGGAACGGTAGTAGAAGTGGCTTCCTCTTAGAATCACACGCCTAGAGCACCCAGTGGCTGAACCCGATCGCCGGCGGATCACTCAGTATATTTCAAGGGATCTAAGTGTACCCTTGGTGAGCAGCAGCAACAAAGAAAAGATCCAAATGTCCTAACTTTTATCCTCTGGTTAGATCGTGTCATCAAACGTAAGTGGTTGACTGATTCCGAAATATACTCCACAGGAAAGCCCTGATACTATCTACCCCACCAGTCAATTTATTGAGTTTTGAGTCGACGGCTCAACGTGAGATGCCCCGAGTAAGTCATCCACTTATTGGCAATCACACCCGTTAGAAAATGTGCCCCTCTGGGTTTAGTTTCCAGTCTCAACTCTAACGGACAATAAACCTGAACAACAGCGATACTGCCTTCTCTTGAGGAAGGACGAGTTAGAAAAGGTCGGTCCCAAAAACCGCACAATCCGACCGTCCAACGGTTGAAAGTAACCGCCGGAACGTTGTTCAATACGATCGAAATACTTTCGAAACCAAAGAGTCTGGTGTTTCTCAGGTCGGTCCCAAAACCGCACAATCCGACCGTCCAACGGTTGAAAGTAACCGCCGGAACGTTGTTCAATACGATCGAAATACTTTCGAAACCAAAGAGTCTGGTGTTTCTCAAAAGGCAACTGCTGTGCGTAGCAGCATCAGGAATGAGGCAGTAAAGCCATACTCCATTTTCCCTCGCGCCAGGGCGGACCCTGAGGCCAGGTAAGTTAGACCATTGAGTCATCGGCTGCAGGCAAAGTCCCCCAAGAAAACTCTACCATCCGATGTCTTTTGGATCGGACTGTTGAGTCAAACGCTCAAGGTAGGGTTCCTCAACTAAATCCCTTCCTCTACTTGGGCAACTGGGAAGTACCACTTGCCCGCGCAGTTCGGTGTCCATCGACGTCCCTACCCAACCCCTTCCCACCACACAAGCAAACGTCGCTGGGTCATTTGACTGTCAGTTATCTGACCGAAGGGTCTTATGCTCCTCGTTGCCTACAAATATTAAACAAAATAACACCTTTCTAAATCCACGAGGTTCTTTATACATAGGAGTTTTTAACGTCCGTACTCTATGTCAAATTGGCAAACAGGCAATGCTTGCTGAAACCCTTATGATTGATGTATACTATTTCCCCGAAACCGAAATACATGACCCCAGCGTAGTTATGCACATCAAAACGCCACGAATGAACTCATCTATTTCACATTTCTTCCTCGGCGTGTCCGTCGTCCCAGAAGCGATGGCTCGTGGGAGCATCATCATCATTGTCAGCTGTAATAACCGCCTGCTCGTCGCACAGTGGTTGTAGCTGCCGCAGTGGCAGTGACAGCTTTAGGTCGAGATATTTGACGTAGGAGTTGCACTCAGCCCCAGAATTGAATGCGCTTTGCTGGATGGGATCCCAGTGAACAGTCGTCTTTGCGCCGCCCGGTTATTCAGCTCAATCAAGCTCAGTGCTTCTTCGTACGAAAAGCGGTGTGTTTGTAGTGTCGGTTTGGGCCACAACGTACTCCACTTCTGGTAATGAGAAGGGCAATTTCTATCGAAAGCTATCCGAGTTCGTTCATCAGGCAGAAAGCACTGACACTGTGATCCTTAAGAGTGAGATGAATGCTCAAGTAGCTCGTCGTGACTCCTTAGAATCACATTTGGGCGGTCGACTCGCAGTCGATTCTCGTCGCACAGAAAACGGAAAGCGACTCCTCCAGTTTTGTACTGATCATGAACTGATTCTGGCAAGTACGAACTTTCAATATAAACGTTCGCATCGCGTAATCCGGCGGTCACCAACTGCAAATCAACCATGGACCCAGTTGGACCACCTGGCCATCAGCCACCGGTGGAGAGCCACAATTCAAGACTGCCGTTCCTTATGGGGCACATCACTCGTTCATCAGAAAGCACTGACACTGTGATCCTTAAGAGTGAGATGAATGCTCAAGTAGCTCGTCGTGACTCCTTAGAATCACATTTGGGCGGTCGACTCGCAGTCGATTCTCGTCGCACAGAAAACGGAAAGCGACTCCTCCAGTTTTGTACTGATCATGAACTGATTCTGGCAAGTACGAACTTTCAATATAAACGTTCGCATCGCGTAATCCGGCGGTCACCAACTGCAAATCAACCATGGACCCAGTTGGACCACCTGGCCATCAGCCACCGGTGGAGAGCCACAATTCAAGACTGCCGTTCCTTATGGGGCACATCACTTGATTCCGATCACGCCATGGTGCGTGCACGTCTGACAATTCACTTCCCTTCAGGCCCTCACAAATTAGCAAGAAGCATGCCAATCCATTATCTTCGAAGAACGACAATCGCCCAACAGTACCGATCCGAGCTGACTCAACAACTCTCTACAGTAAACCAATAACAAAAAGTGGTCCAGCTGTAACACCCTTCTGGTGCCTAGCTGCCATGCCACCCGGAGGAAGCACGAGGGCTGGGATACTGCCAGATCGCTCAGGCCTAGACAGGGGAAGTCGAGTGGCAGAGGTCGGGTTCTAACCACGGACCTTCCGGTCAGTAAATTCGCGCTCTAACCACTTGGGCCATCTCGCCCCCACAGTAAACCAATACTGTCGTGGCGGTGAGCATGCGTGGCGAAATGTGAAAGGAGCTATACTAGCGGCGTTCAGTGCTGCCTGCCCGACTTCTCCCATTCGACCACAAGACCACTGGATGTCGTCGAGGTCGTTATCCATGATTGATGCCAGGAAAGCCATACCAGCAGGCAACGAGTATGACGGCGCACACAAATCCCCCAAACGCCATACAGTGAAGAGTTTAAGGAAAGTCCGAGAGCTCTGGTGGATATCGAAAGCTCGGGAGATGGAGAAGGCCTTTGCTACGGGAAACAGCCGTGCCCTTTATCAACTGATACGATCGACTGGCCCTAGGAAAGCAACGGTCAGCGAAACGACAAGTGAAAAAGATAGCTCATTAATTCGCTCGCAATAACGTCGACTGGAGAGATGGGCCAAACACTTCGAAGAGCATTTCAGCTGGCCTCCTGTAGCACAGCCGGTGGAGATAATGCATACGGGCGGATGGAATGTAAACCTTGATCGCCCTTCGGAAGAAGAAATAGCCGTACAGAAACGTGAGGAGGCACCATGACTGGACGGTCTGTATCCAGCCCTCTCAAAGGAAGGCGGAAAATCCCTGGTGACCAATCTGACAAAGCTTATTTGTACTAAATGGAAGGAAAAGAAGCCTGCAGAATAGGGCATGTCTACAGTTATTTCGATCTTCGAAAAGGGTACGTGGACGCTGTGTGAAGGCCATCGTGGCATCAGCCTGGTAGCTGTGGCATCCAAGATCCTTTCTGGTTTTACCCCACGGCCTTGTGAATGTTTACAGGAAGCCCCCTTCTAAGTTAACCACACCAAGCGGTGTCAGACGGCCTGTCCTCTTTCAGTTTTCCTCTTCAACTTCGTCATGGATACGATTACGGAGGATTCACTATCAGTCTCTATGCCTGTGAGGTCGAAAAGCCTCCGGGGCGTCCGCTCACAGATATCGAGTACGCAGACGATACAGCTCTTCTTGGATGTGACCCTGTGGTAATTCCAACGATATTAGGTAGTCTAAATAACTCCGCCTCATGGTTTGGCATGCGTTTCACACCGGCAAAGTGTAAACTATTACTTCACGACCGGGTGGGTTCGGAAATTAACCTCATGTTTACGGAGGAGCCGACTGAGGTAGTAGACAAATTTGTTTACTTGGGCATCTGTATCAGTTTCAGTGGTCCCAACTAGATTGGAAAGGCCAGGGCAGTTTTTGTGAACCTGCGTCACCTATGGCGTGGGCGTGACATCAGCTTATCCGTCAGTGGTCGAGTTTACAATGCTGCGGTGCGCTCCATCATCATCATCATCGTCGTCGTCAGCAGTAATAACCGCCTACACGTCGTACAGTGATTGTAGTTGCCGCAGTTTCGCTCACCGATGATTTTTTTTTT